CCCTAAACCCTAAAACCTAACCCACCTCTTCTCCCAGTCGGCAATGCGGCGCCGGTGCTCCGCCTCGGCCTGCAGCACACTCTGCTGGAGCTCCTGGCAGAAATCCCGGGCGCGTGCTTCTGAGGATCACCACTCACTAACCACCTACTACCTTTAGTTGATGACAAGGGTTTGTTGTGAAAGAACTAGTACTAGATGTGATAAAGTACCCAAACCTGACACCTGACACATCCTGACACTAGCGCCTCCGTTTTAACTCTCAAACCTACTTCCTAGAACGATCTAAACAGTTGGAGCTCGCGCTTGTTGTGCGCTCGAGCTTCCTTTTGCCCTGTCGGAAGCAGTTCCCTGGACTGCGTTCTCGCATCCTGCTCTTCGTGGTAGCTTTCGTATGAGTTTCAAGGCTTCGACTCATGGAACATGACAACAATAACAAGTACAACCTTTCCTACTTTCTGAAAGACATTCGAAAGCTGCAAGGGTACTCAGCAGCTACTTGTTAGTAGCGGGACGTTGGTAGCTGGTAGTTGGTAGCTAGTAGGTGGCAGCTACTAGTGACTACTGACTAGTGACTAGTTACTAGTTTATAGTTAGTAGGTGGTAGGCGGTAAGTTGTGAGCAGTAGTAGACAGTAATCAGTAGTTCGTCGGTAGTAGCCACTAGCTAGTAGCTGAAAGCTAGTAGTTAGTATTTCGTACTTAGCAGCTAAGGAGGAGGACGGAGGGAGGAGGAGGAGAAAGGGCAGCTAGTAACAGTTCTGGCCTTTGTGACTGTTTTGACTCCTAGCACAGGAACTGCCTAATACTAACCATAATTCTAGCATATTCGGACTAATGATTATGACTAACTCATGACTTATGACTCCCTTTGTGGCTGTGGCACCTGGGGTATGCCAGTCCTGAAGTAACTTACCCGGAGCGCTGCGCTCGATGAGATCCAAATCGACAATCTGCCCGAACTTGAGCATCTGGATGTCCTCTCGCACCCCGAGCGTTGGCTTCACAGTTCACAGTTCATGCAGCATCGATCCGTGGCTCTGTGATTTCGGGACAGATGGATCTAAGAACAGCAGTCGGACCTCAAAATAGACTCACAAAACCCTCGTCCAGTCCTGGAACTTTGCATGGAGATCCTGCGGAGATGTCGCACTTCTATTCTCAGTCGTGGTCAACGCCGCTGAATCATTCATGCCCAGTCTTTTGTACAGACATGCCCACCTTTGAGCTGCTGACCCTCGTAGTATCATAGGCCAGAGATGAAGCAACTGGTTGAACCCGTGGCATCAGCTAAGTCTCCGAGACAATCCTGGATGTGCTGCAACGCCACGCTCTTGTCTTTCTTGCGAACGCGGAAGTCACGCTGAAGCCTAGGGCGGTCGACTCGAGCACCCCCAAGCTCTGCGGAAGTTGCGACATCATTGCCCATGGCAAGCTACGAACCAAGGCTATGGCTGCTTGTGCCTTGCTTTGACCTGGTCAGAACTTGCAAGAGCGAAGCACAAACGGACCTTCCCCTAAGTCCCTCGACAATGCAAGGCGACGCGGTGGTGATCATCACGATTACGATGACGATAATGACGATGAGGCCGCTGGTGATGTTGGCGATGGCGATTGTGGTGGCGACTTTGGCGGTGTTGATGATGACCATGGTGATGACGAGGATGACGATGAGGATCATGGTGGTGGCGGTGGTGGTGGTGGTGGCGGCGGGGGTGACGGTGATGGCCGGGGCGAGGGTGATGGAGTGCCTCGGAAACGGAAGAAGTGGAACTCCTGGCCTCCTTGATCTCCTGGTGGAGCTCCGTGATGCGAGTCATCAGGCGGTCCAGGCCCTGGCCGCAAAAGCCGTCTACATGAGTCTACCCTGCTAGGGCAAGCCAAATCAAAGCGATCGCCAGTATTAGTATTAATGTAACATAAGTATTAGTATCATTATTAGTCATGTTCTGTTACGACTTGACAGAAAAGCACGCCCTGTCGGGCCTCATTTGTGAAGATCACCTGCTGACCTAGCTCGGCGGGGAGACGCTCCTGCCTGGCCAGGACGCGGTCTGACAACTGGGCAACTTCGATGCCACGAAACCATACATGTCACAGGGCTGGGGTTGCTGCCCGTCGCTCTGGTCTGCAGATGATAGGCACTGAACCTGGCATGAGGCAAACACAACGGACTCAGCGACGACCTGTCTTGGGGCAGCGAAAGAAGCAGCAAGGCCTGCAAGCTTGGTGACTGATGATACTGCTGCATTCTGCAAACTGAGATGTCATAAGTACCACTTGATTCTGCATGCATCAGTCATCAAATTACGTAACCGGAAGTTGCAAGAAGAACACCAGGCAGACTATGCATCGGAGAAAATAGAGCAACATTCCTTCCGATCGCCTGCGACAGTCGCAAGGCGAACACGATGGGCACCTGACACGTCGAGTCGAGAGTTGCTCACACTCAGACTCACAAGATGAGTTTGCACTCTCGAACCGTACATATACAAACCGAACACAACTGCGCAGCTCGGAGCTGCTGGCTGCTGACTGCAGACTCTGCGACACAAGCAGCCTTTCAAAGAGAAGCGTCCAGCTGCTGTTGGACACATGCCGTGTACCAAACTAGCAGCAGCAGCAGCAGCAGCAGCAGCAGCAGCAGCAGCAGCAGTGGTAGTGGCAGTAGTTCATGCAAGTAGTAGTAGTAGTAGTAGTAGTAGTAGTAGTAGTAGTAGCAGTAGCAGTAGTAGTAGTAGTAGTAGTAGTAGTAGTAATCGTCGTCGTAGTAGTAGTGGTGGTAGTAGTAGTAGTAGAAGTAGTAGTAGTAGTAGTAGTAGTCGTCGTCGTAGTAGTAGTAGTACTAGTAGGGGTAGTAGGTAGTAGGCAGTAGTAAGTAGTAGTAGTAGTAGT